CGCCACGTCTGTGGCGCAGCGACATATTCCTAGTTTTGTTCGCGAGTTTCTGATTGCTGACAAACGATGAGGGAACACGGGCCACGTAGCTCACAGTCGATGCTCTAGGAAACATCAGTGAGCTTGTAAAGTAGGAACTCCGAATTCCATGAGCGACCGATTCCCCACACAAGGGACTTCGGCGTCGACTGGACCGCGATTGAGGGTCGGCAGGCACGAGTCAACGGGAACAGCCGATTTGTCCGGCGAACCGCACTGCTATTCAAACTCTGCGGACGAGCCCAACCCGCTGGTGGATCAAATGGAGGCTCTTGGAGTGTGCGATGGTGTATAGGAGGCCGTGGTCAAGATCGGCACACTTTGACCCAACCATTTTCGCTTGCAGCTTCACCATCGCCCGTTGCTGTTGCCGTGTGTCCTTGAAAGGAAACGACACGCATGCAATATTCCGTGTGACTTGAATGCTGACCAGTCGTTCCAGCCAACATTTGCATCATCATTTCTCTCCTATGTTGCTGATCGTTCATGAGGAGGGCCAAGAAAATGCGGTGATCTTTCTTCAAGTCAAGCAACCAATTCGGTCGTGTGCCTCGACTGTATCAGCAATGCCCATTTGTAACGTCGCACCATCTCGACTGCAATCAGACAGCCTCAGCTGTTGCACCTGGTGCGACGCTTGAGGGCAGAGACGGGAGGCGGAGAGAGTCGAGCGTCTTTATTAGGTTCTGCACCCTCATCTAGTGGACACGGGGAAAAAGAGAGAAGAAAAAAGGTAGCTGATGTGAGTCAGCGCACCTGTGCTCAAATACGTGCCGTCACACCCTTGGAGCTTCCAGAAGGTTATCTTGTGGCTGGACAACCAACCGGCGCGGGATCTGAAAACATTCCACCCCCGGACTGGGACCCCCGTCCCTCCGCATGGCATCTAAATCAAGTCTCAATTGCGATACCGTCTCTTCTCTGTCCGTTTGTCTCGAGTGTTGTGAAGAGGCGGGCGACCGTAAGGCCTCAAGGACGGGTGTCTCTTCTAATCAACCACACCCCAGTCTCCGTCTGTCATGATACATCCATCACAACCAAAGTATCCCCTGGGCACGCTACCTTGCCTGCCCTTCCAGGCTTACCCCCTTTGATCATCGTATTTCCCCATGTTTTCTGTCCATGTCGAGCTCCAGCAGCTGCGCAACCACGTTGTCCAATTTGCGGCTTGCCCATCCACCACTCCACGAACAGGCGCCCAGTATTAGCGTCCCCGCAACCTGCTCCGCGATACTAGGCGAGCCGCGGCGCCAACAAACCTTTCATCGCCCCGTTCGGCCCGCGCTGGCCAGTCACAAACCTGCAGCGGCGACGGCAGGCAGCGCATCCTCGCTTTTTTGTGGTCTATCTTGGCCGGACGCTTCTACCGGTAGCTGGTATGCCCTCATCCAATACTGGGATTGCAGAAAGATCCCATAGTTGAGTGACTTCCATGGCCTCATAGGGTCACACAATACCAAGTCAAATCTCCGTAGCAGCTGACGGAAGTGTCAGTACGTCGTCTTCGCAAGAGCAGAACCATACGCCGGACACGCGTAACGTACCTCAACAAATAACTTCTGCAGCTCCATCATCGCCACATTCCGTCCGAGACACTTCCATTTGCCGTGGCCAAAGACAAGCTCGAGCGTTGCCTCCATCGATCTCAGGCTCTCCGCATCCGCCGTGAGCCATCGATCCGGTCGGAAGTCGTCGGCGTCCTGACCCCAAATGTCGCCTCGGCGGAAGATACCCCACGCTCCGTAACCGATGCGCGTTCCCTCCGGTAAGTGCACGCCTTTGAAAGTGTCGCCGCCTTTGGGGACTTCCTTCGACATCTGTCCGACAACTG